TAGCCATTTTGGGGGCAAAATCTAAAGAAAATCCCAACTTGATCCTTACTCAAAAACTCATTAGTTTTTAATAACCTACTTATTCCATAAATTTGCAACACCTATACATGTTCAGTCAAACCCAAGAATTTGCATACCTTGCAATCCAAATGATTCGATTATAAAATGTTTTTACTGAAGGGCATTTAGCAAATTTCTTCAATTATTCATGATCTTTTGTGGTTCCTTTTGTCATTTTGTTGGAGTGTGATACTTAAATTGAAAAATAACCGAAGGATTTCATTTAAAATGTGTTCATTCTTTCTTATCAATATCAGTGTGAAGCAAATTAGAGCAATATTTAAATAGACATAAACCCCCCCAAAATTAAATAACTTATACATAGTAAATTTTCTATTGTCTGTGGCTTGAGGACTTGAGACATCTCAAGGAACCTAAACCTTGTGAATTATGAGGTTTCATTTTGTGTGTTTTATTTCCTAGCATTTTTTATTTATATAGATATAACTGTCATTACAAATTGTAATAGTATTTGCACTAAATTCAGTAATTCACATCATGTTTGATAAACATTGTTGTTGGGAAATTCTGTGTAGTATTACACAAAATGTTTTATATAAAAATTAAAAAGATGATCTTCCCAGTTATACTTGAGTTATATTCTGTGCATTGTAATTAAGATGCTTTGTGGTTTCAGCTTCATGGACGTTCCAAGGAGCAACGCTATTTGAAAATTGCTGATTGGGATTACATCAATGAGTGTGCTATGGTGGCTGATCCCATGCCTTTATTTGGCAATGGGGATGTACTCAGTTTTGAAGACTACAGTTATCATCGGCAACATTCAAAAGTTGCTGGTAATGTCATTTAATTAATAATTTCTTCATGATCATATAGTACTACTACAAAAACTGCCAGCACCTCCGAGGATGTTATGTCACAGGGATAAAACTTGGCCATGAGAGTGCAAGAGTGTATAGTTAGGTAATTTTTTTTCAAACACCAGACAAGGGAGAAATTGACTGAGGAATAAACATATACAGCCTCTCCTCACTTAACAACGTACTCGTTTACTGATGACTCGGACTTACGACAGGCTCTGACCAATATACATATGCATACCTGAATAATGTATATTAGAGCTGATTTCCTCTGTTCTGTTTTACAATATACACTATACAGTGGACCCTCGGTTATCGGCCGTAATCTGTTCCAGAAGGTCGGCCAAAAACTGAAATAATATTTCCCATAAGAATTAATAGAAATACAGTTAATCCATTCCAGATAAAAATATTCACAAAAAAATAATTTTTTTTAACAATTATATAAATATTACATACCTTTATTGAAGACTAATGCTGGCTTCAGGAAGATAAGGAGGAGGAAAGAGGGAGGAGTTAGTGTTTGGAAGGGGAATCCCTCTCCATAAGGACTTCAGGTACCAAGTCCTTATCTGGGGTTACTTCCCTTCTTGGTCTTTTAATGCCACTAGGACCAGCTACACTTCCTGCATGCTTGCTACACTCCCTGCATGCTTGCTACACTTCCTGTATGCTTGCTACACTTCCTGCATGCTTGCTACACTTCCTGCATGCTTGCTACACTCCCTGCATGCTTGCTACACTTCCTGTATGCTTGCTACACTTCCTGCATGCTTGCTACACTTCCTGCATGCCTGCTACACTTCCTGCATGCCTGCTACACTTCCTGCATGCCTGCTACACTTCCTGCATGCCTGCTACACTTCCTGCATACCTGCTACACTTCCTGCATACCTGCTACACTTCCTGCATGCCTGCTACACTTCCTGCATGCCTGCTACACTTCCTGCATGCCTGCTACACTCCCTGCATGCTTACTACTCTCCCTTCATGCTTGCTACACTCCCTGCATGCCTGCTACACTCCCTGCATGCCTGCTACACTCCTTGCATGCCTGTTACAATCCATGCATGCTTGCTACACTTCCTGCATGTCAGCTACACTCCCTGCATGCCTGCTACACTACCTGCATGTCTGCTACACTTTCTACATGCCTGCTACACTTCACACTTAAGTTCCATGGTGTTTCTCACTTTCTTTACCACAGGAACTTTCTTTGGAGCCATGGTTACTTATTTCACAGTTGCACTGCAAAAATAACACAAAGTACAATGGGAAATAAGTGAAATGTTTGGATGTATGAACAGAAGCTTCCTCAGCCACCGAGAGAGATGGCCAAACTGATGTGCAAGCGGCCCCAGCTGGCGGATGGACACGTCCCAAATGGCCGATAACCGGGCGCCGAAAAACTGGTCGATCACCGAGTTGGCTGATAACAGAAGCGGCCAATAACCGGGGGTCTACTGTACTACTGTATAAACATTTAAAAGCACAGTGAAACCCCGAGTTTCAGTCGTAATCTGTTCCAGGAGCTAGGCCTAAAGTCGAAACAGCCTAAAGTCGAAGCAGTATTTCCCATAAGAAATAATGTAAATCCAATTAATCCGTTCCACCCAAAAATATTCATAAAAAATAATTTTTTATAGAATAAATACTATAGTTTTACATACAAAAAACAATGAGAATAAATATAAAGCACTAATTTTAATGGATAAATGAACATTTAAATAAGTTTTACCTTTATTGAAGACCTGTTGGCATATGAGAGGCAGGAGAGTTTGTTTGGAGGCAGGACAAAATAGTCCTTCAATATGACTCTAATACCAACTCTACAGCTTATTTATCTATTGCAATTCATCTAATATGACATAATAAACAATATTAATAACATAGAAACATGACATATACATGTACTCTAGAATGAATAAAGTACGTCATTATGTATGTCACGACTGGTGTTACGTTGTTTTGTTGTTGGGTGTATAAGGGCCATTGAGAGCATAAGCATAAGCAGCAGCAGAGGTGGCGGTGTTTTCAGTCGCCCTATATACCTCAAACAACAGTGGAGGAGTTAAGTTTCATGTCATTTTTCTGTCGCTTAATCGCTTAACTTACTTGCTACACTGTTAATGCTACAATATCGCTGGCTGTTGCTATAGCCTTTATCAACTCGTGCTGCTTTCGTATCGTACTTATCGTAGAATCACTGAAGAAGGCACATTCTCCCCTCTCTTTTCCTCCTCCATTTTGGTACTTTGCTACAATTTCTTTCTTCAATTCTATCATGTTTCTCACTTTCTTTACCAAAGGGCTGCCACTAGGAAGTTATGAATTTATTGTGAAATGTTTGGATGAGCACACAGAGTAATATTCACTTGAGGATAAACAAAGCTAGACTGGCTCATGACGCCTGCATGGGCAGGCAGACAGGTCTGGTACGCCGGCCGAAACACAGGGCACGGTGAAACTTGGGACAAAATTTAGCCGAAAAAAGCGGTCTAAACTCAAAGCAGCCGATACTCAGGGCGGCCAAAACTCGGGGTTCCACTGTATACCAGAAATGTTGTAAATGGTGCAAAGGTGACATTAAAACAATATCAAAGATGGTTGACACAAACACACTACCATTATAGTGTGCTCTTCACTTAGCGACGAATTTGTTTACCGATGTGGTCTTAGGAACAGAACTCCGTTGTTAAGTGAGAAGATTAAATTTTATTGTAACTCACGAATTTGAATAACATGATTGCAAACAAACCACAGAACGTGTGGGGTTTGAACCCATGGTGAGTGAGTCATAAAACTCTAGACCAGTGTGTAAGCCACTGGGCCAGCTGGCTGCAATAATTCATCCAAGTAGGTACAGTGGACCCCCGCATAACGATTACCTCCAAATGCGACCAATTATGTAAGTGTATTTATGTAAGTGCGTTTGTACGTGTATGTTTGGGGGTCTGAAATGGACTAATCTACTTCACAATATTCCTTATGTTAACAAATTCGGTCAGTACTGGCACCTGAACATACTTCTGGAGTGAAAAAATATCGTTAACCGGGGGTCCACTGTATATTTCTGTACACCATAGGGAGATTAGCATGAGCTCCACTGTGACAACAAAAACAAGTTTTTACAGATGAATCTCCTGCCAGCATGGCTGGCAGGAGATTCATCATTTCTTATTTAGAAATCTTGCATACTTTTGAGAGTAGCTAGATTTCAAAATATTGATGTTTATATATTTGAGTTTCCTCCATATGTACATCTCTTGGGCTTTCTTACCCAGTTTAAAGCTTCTCATTTTTTCTGAACTTAAATATTGTAAATAATATTTATGCTGCAGGAATCATGATAGGAAGAGGTGCACTCATCAAACCCTGGATATTCAAGGAAATTAAGGAACAGCGTCACTGGGACATTTCTTCAAGTGAACGCTTTGACATGCTTAAAAACTATGTTAATTATGGTCTGGAACATTGGGGCAGTGACACAGAGGTAAGGCTAGCATAATAAACTCCCTTCAAGAGGATGCCTAGATGTTGGCAAAGGTTTCTTGATACATGAAATTAGAGCTGTCGTTCCTCTCCATGGTTTGAGTACCTATCCCCCAGGTACTGTGTGACCTCTGTGGGTTTAGTGTGTCTCCATGATTATAATAAATAACTTTTGGCAGCTTGATTAAGTGATTAAATTTGAAATTTTTATTACAACTAAGAAACTGCAGTTGGTTTTGAGGGGAAACTGAACCACTTTCTGTAAAAGTGACACATCAGTCAGATTGTTATGCTGTGTAGGCCTGCAGTCCATTGGCAACAACATCTTGGTTGATTAGTGACCAGGGATGTCTGCCTTTAAGCTGGTCTAAGGATAGAACCCTCAGAACCAGTCACAGGTAAGGATGTTTGAAAATTATGGTCCTGCATGCACAGTAAACCAAAATTTACAGAAATGGTGTTTTGTGTTTGGAGAAGTGGTAGTTTTTGTAATTTGCTAATTATGGCCTTGTTCAAGATATTCAATGTTAACAACCAGGCACTTTTGAATATGGTGTTCAACATATACCACACACTTTCATACAACTTTCTGCTGGGATAGTGGTGTAGAACTCGATTTTGTGAGAAAGTTGGTGTTATAGTTCAAATTACCCCAACCTAGAACCTAGGTTGAGGAACCAGCATAAATTATCCCAAATGGGATAAAAATGAAAATCTCAGGGTAATGAACGTTCAATAAACATATAAATAAAACTGCACAAAAATTTATTTTTAATAAGCAAGACAAATTATAATATATAATTATATCTTTCTTTTGGTGATATCAAGGTCCAGTTATAGGGCATCTTATCAAACTTAGAAATTGGATTTGTGATTACTTTCCAGATCTTGACTCTCATACTATGAGTTGGGTTGCGAGTCCCTTCAACTGTAAAATTGCTGATATGCCAAAAGAGCCTGAAGGATTGGCAGAGGCACTTACTGAACTTCTCTCCAACAGTGAAGCATGCATTGAATTTCAGAGCAACACAGATCTGTCCTTTCTTTGAGGAAGCGGCAAAATTACTACTGCTGTTTGCAACATCTGTCTTTGTGAACGAGGATTTTTCACTCTCATTAACTTAAAAACAAAGTACAGAAATCAGTTGAATGCTGATGACAGTATCCAAATTGCTCTCACATCAAAAACCCCTAATTTTGATTTTGTTGTATCAAAAATGAAACTTCATTATTTCTCAAAAACCTGAAGTGAAAATGTTTTCAATGAAATTCTTTAGTTCTCAAGTGAGATTTTTATTAAATTTGTCTGTTATTTTTAATTTCATACAGTTTATTTTTCATTTTATTATTTTGTTAATTTTGTGTTTTATTTTTAAAAGTTTCTTTATTGCATATAATACATACTTTATAGGTAGTAGGTTGGTAGACAGCAACCGCCCAGGGAGGTACTACCGTCCTGCCAAGTGAGTGTAAAACGGAAGCTTGTAATTGTTTTACATGATGGTAGGATTGCTGGTGTCCATTTTTCTGTCTCATAAACATGCAAGATTTCAGGTATGTCTTGCTACTTCTACTTACACTTAGGTCACACTACACATACATGTACAAGCATATATACACACACCCCTCTGGGTTTTCTAATATTTTCTTACTAGTTCTTGTTCTTGTTGTTTATTTTCTCTTACCTCCATGGGAAAGTGGAACAGAATTCTTCCTCCGTAAGCCATGCGTGTTGTAGGAGGCAACTAAAATGCTGGGAGCAAGGGGCTAGTAACCTCTTCTCCTGTATATATTACTAAATGTAAAAGGAGAAACTTTCGTTTTTCCTTTTGGGCCACCCCACCTCGGTGGGATACGGCCGGTGTGTTGAAAGAAAGAAAGACATACTTTTCAGCTTGTATGACTGTATTCTCCATATAAATTGATTCAATAGACTACAATGGAACCTCGGTATACGACCAGCTCCCTACTCGAACAAAGCTTAGCACTCTCCCAAACAAATACGACCTGCCAGAACTTCGCTGTAAACTATTTCGTGTTTCTTCGCATTTTTTGGTGTTTTTTCATATTATTTGTATAAGTAAGTCACCATGGGGCCTACGATGATTAGTGATAACAGCCAACCAAACAGAAAATTGGTTGGGAAGAACTTGTTTGATACTCAGACAGAGCAGCACTCAGCCTTTTGGAATGAATTAAGGTCGCATACCGAAGTTCCACTGTATTTGGAATTTGTCTGCTCCTTGTGTTTTGTGGATTCTGTGGACTTTCAAATCAAGTGGGTAATTTTACTGTATATGGAGTAATATCCAAAAAAGTTTGCTGACCTCTGAACTAGAAGAACGTAGGGTTCAGACTACATTCTTTTATGGTTGATACCTGGAACTGGCCAGAGGCTTTGCAGGTTACTACCCCATTTTAATGGGTGCCCTGGCTGCAGTTGGCCAGCAATAGTACACCTATACACACTGCACTTTTTACAAACAAGCAGGAAATCCGCTTTTGGAATTATTTCTCGTGTTGGATAGTGTAACCCAAATACATGTTATGCAGTAAGAGGCTTACCTTAGTACAATAGGCCTGTCTTGGAATATGGTACTAGGCCTTCAATGAGGTTTACACTTTCATAAGGGTGGGGAGATGACCTGATTAGGTCTTTAAAAACATAATGTCAAATGTGACTCCTAGTTTAGAGCCTTGTGTTTTTAATTGCAGGTTGGTGCAGCTTCCAACATAAACATTCTTTGAATCACCCCTGCCTTAGTGGGAAATAGCTGTTCACTTTTTTAAAAAAAAAAGTATATGAATGGTTACAGATGTTATAAACTGTCTTACGTATGTTTATATCGGGTCCTGCCATTCAAGAAGTTTTATGTACACATAGCCTTTCAGGGAAGACATACTGGTAGGCTAAACAGATGACTATAAAAATCATTTCATAGTGTAAATTTTTGACCAGTTTTCATTCCTATCTTGTTTGTTCTGTGCAGCAGAATCTTTGTCACTCAAAAACTATGTTTTGTGTGTGTGTGTGTGTGTGTGTGTGTGTGAGTGTGTGTGAGTGTGTGTGAGTTAGTTACCATTTTGTCCTAGGCACATGTCGATTAGACACTAGGCCTGTTGTATATGAGCACGTGTGTGTGTGTGTGTGTGTGTGTGTGTGTGTGTGTGTGTGTGTGTGTTAGTTACCATTTTGTCCTAGGCACATGTCGATTAGACACTAGGCCTGTTGTATATGAGCACGTGCGTGCGTGTGTGTGTGTGTGTGTGTGTGTGTGTGTGTGTGTGTGTGTGTGTGTGTGAGAGTTAGTTACCATTTTGTCCTAGGCACATGTCGATTAGACACTAGGCCTGTTGTATATGAGCACGTGTGTGTGTGTGTGTGTGTGTGTGTGTGTGTGTGTGTGTGTGTGTGTGTGTGTGTGTGTGTGTGTGTGTGTGTGTGTGTGTGTGTGTGTGTTAGTTACCATTTTGTCCTAGGCACATGTCGATTAGACACTAGGCCTGTTGTATATGAGCACGTGCGTGCGTGTGTGTGTGTGTGTGTGTGTGTGTGTGTGTGTGTGTGTGTGTGTGTGTGTGTGTGTGTGTGTGTGTGTGTGTGTGGTGTGTGTGTGTGTGTGTGAGAGTTAGTTACCATTTTGTCCTAGGCACATGTCGATTAGACACTAGGCCTGTTGTATATGAGCACGTGTGTGTGTGTGTGTGTGTGTGTTGCTATTTTTACTTTTATATGTAAACTCATATTTATAAGGAAGCTCTAAACCCATTGAAGTCATACAAAGCATGAGGAGTGGGAAGGAAGGTGTGAACCAAGGAAGAGGTGGGTAGTCATGCCTTGATCAAGAGCCTTTTGCCAACATGAAGGTACTTTCCTTGAAGGGAACATCTATACTTGTATTAGTTTTTTTTTTTAACCATTTGAATCAGATTTTCAATTTCTCCACTCATACAGAATAAATATTAAAATCTGCAGATTCCTGCAAAATAGACTGATTTACTTTTCACATAAATATAATCTATTATAGTCTTCTGCATTTTTAGGGGATTGAGAAGACCCGACGATTTTTGTTGGAATGGCTTTCATTTTTACATCGTTACATCCCTGTGGGCCTCCTGGAGCAGACTCAAAAGATAAATCAACGCCCTCTAGCTTACTACGGCCGTAATGATCTGGAAACTATGATGGCATCTCGTAGTGTTAGTGACTGGATTAAGATCAGGTTGGAGAAATGTGTTTGTATTTGTTTAGTATAACATTCTCATATACTACAGAGTTTAAATAATGACTCGTAAGAAAAACACTGTATATACATGCATACACACCCAGTTTTAATTTTAGGAAATTACAGATCCAGTAAAATGGAACTGGACTTGCTCTTGTAGGAACATTTTTTGGTTGCATCTTGAAGGTAAATTTGGGTGCTATTGGGATATTGGCAGTTTTGAGGGACATTTAACTATCATATCTGAGAGCCTCTGCAAAGACAGTGATTATGTATGAGTGATGTGAAAGTGTTGAATGATGATGAATGTTTTTTCTTTATTTTTGTTTTTTTTTTCTTTTTTGGGTCACCCTGCCTTGGTGGGAGATGGCCGATGTGTTAAAAAAAATATTTCATCTTAGAATGCAACTGATAAAATAAATTCTTATAATTATCTAGTAAATGATTCAACATAAATAAGTAGTTATGGTTTGTATAGCTGTAGAGTTTACAGTGCAGGACACACTGAGGGTATGGAAACATACATTGGAGGAACCTATGCATCAGCAGGGCTCTCCATTCAGTCCAGCTTGATTAAGAATACCATTAAAATGATGTTTTTGAAGTGTTGTGTCCCCAAGATCATCTTGAAGTGCTTTTTGGATGTGATTATAGATTATATCAAGTCTTGTCCCACGTTCCCTTCTCAATTTGAAATATTAGGTATGTCTCGTAGAAGATGTCCTTCCTTCTAATCATTACCTTGGGTGCAAGAGTGGGTACTCCAGCAATCAAATGGATATGCAAAGTTCTGGGAGGATGAAGCTAGCATCACACATACTTCACTGGAACTTCCATCTTAAGAACAAGAGTGTCGACAACTCCCAACCAACTTCAGAATAAGTGAAATTCCCAGGGACTCTGTCCTCTGTTGGGGCATTGAGAGATTGCATATCTCTATCATAGAGCTGGATGTAGGATTCAAGTCAGGATGGTTTCTTCATCATTCCAGCCTGAAGCCTCAATGACAGCTCCCAGCCGATTTTGATGTGGGTATGATGCTTCACCATTTCAGGCTGTGTCCACCTGGGAAGGAAATCTCCCAGAGTCCACTCCCATGACACCAGAGGAGTTGTAGGCTTATTAGCCTTAGGAATCCAAGGTCAAATCTAACCATTGCTGGAAGGCATGCAGCTAACCAAATCTTGGTCAGGCATTCAGAGTATAGGAGGGTCTCCCAGATTTTAATAAGAAGTCCTGGAATGGATGTCCCGGGCTCCAAAGAGATTCACGCTTACCCTTAAGACATCCGACAAAGTATCACTAAATACGTATTAATTTCTGGTTAATAGTTGTATGGTACACCCGCCCAGCATGTATATTCCGAAGTACAATACCATTACTATGTAACCTAGAGGGGTGTTCAGACAAATATAAGTCAGAGTGATATCCAGACTGTAATTAATGGTCTTTCAAGTGTTCTTGGAATTACACATTATTACTTGCTGGGTGTTGCTTGTTCCATTACATGGTTTGAATGGAACTATATACCTAGGGTTGACTTCCTAGCAAGAGGTTGGCTTCAGTTCTCCTATGACCAGGTGTGGAGATTTTTTTCAGGATTTGCTGTTAGAGATCCTCTGTGATTGACTTGGGTTGATGAGTTTCATAGCAGTTCAGTTTGAAAATGCTCATCTCTGGCTTTAATCACATACTTGGGTTTAGTGACAAGTGAGCTCTAGCTGTTGGTTCTGATTTTTACCTTTTGACCAATTTGCCACCCTTGTATTGAAGATGATTAGCTCATTTGCATGTTTAATTTCCAAACATGTCCTCTAGTTGCACCATTGGTTAAAAATCTATCCTTGTGTACACTGTCTATGTTTCTTAATATTTTATATGTTGTAATCATATCTCCTCTTCACGCCTCAGGTTAGATGAGGCCTAGTTCTTACATTTTCTTCATAGCTCCTAATCCACAGCTCAGGTACCAGTCTTGATGCTTTTCTTTGCACTTGCTTTCAGGCTCTACTTCGTAATTTTCTAGGTGTGGATTTAGCACTGACACTTCATGTTCAGAATGGGTCAAACATATCAAGTATAAAATATTTTAAATGAGTCTTCGTTTAAGTTCCAGAAAAATCATTCATATGTTTGCAAAATTATCTTGCACTTTTGATGTTGCTCTGTTTATATGTACCTCAGGAAACAGGTTTGGGATAATAATTATTCTTAAGTCCTTTTCTTTAAACACTTCTGTGAGCTTTTTTTTTTTTTTTTATCCTTGGGTGGTACTGCACTCTGTCAGCTTCCTTTCCCAGTCTCTAAATAGCTTTGCTTCTACTAGGGTTTAATTCCAGTAATCATTTATTCTACAATTACTGAAATCTGTCTCTGAGTTCCAATCATTGTATTCTGAATCTTGAATTCCCATCTGTTTTACATTTGCCTTTTCTATGATATGGCATACTGATGGTAAATTTCCATTGGTTCATCAAAGACCCACTGCAGAATAATGGTTTTAAAAAATGGAAATTGCATGCTTATACCAGGGCTTGATGACCCATAGAGACTGGTCACCTCAAACAACTTTAACTTTAATTAGTAACTGGTGGTTCAGTTGGTGGATTACCATTAGAGGGCTTTCACCATACTTATACTAAGAAATTAGAAATGGAAAGAGGCAAAACTGATGAAAAATGAGATAGTGGGCCATAAGACCTTGATGCAGAAATGCATTTTTCAGTCTTCAAAACTGCTAATTATTTAATATAAGTCATTACTGAATAGAGATTAGAAAGAATCTGGGGCAAGCATAGATTCCTGTGGCACACAACTGGTGATATTACCTCTTATTTGTCAGTTTAAGATTGCCTCATGTACTTACCACATTTTCAGTTATATTCAACACTCCTTTCCACTTGAACTGCCCTAATTTAAAGAGTAGGTTTGTGGAAAAAGCTTTTTATTACACATGTACATGTGTTGTACTGTTATCACAATTATATGGACCTTTAACATTCAGGGTGTCTTTAAACTTGGGAAATAAATTGCATCAATAATTACAGAACCTGTGGTAATTCTTCAATACTTGTTCTGACAGTTACTGATGAATATTTTTCATGATTCAGGCAATAATTAATAATTTTCTCTTCACTTTTTTTTTTTTTCAGTGAAAGGCTTCTGGGGCCAACTCCGTCCGACTTTGTATTTCTACCAAAGCACAAAGCTAACTCCTACTGAATTATATTGTTTTATAATTACTAATTTGATGTAAATGTATTAGTAAATGTTGCAGTGCAATATGGACAACATGTGGGTAAGAGCCAAGATGGTTTTGTTATGGATAAAATGTTAGTAAAAGATAAGATGTTAGTGCTTTGCTATGAACTTCATGTTGGTAAGAGTTAAAAGATGGCATTTATTTTGTTCTATTGTTTTAGGACAGTTTTTCTTTTAAATATAGTACTGTATATAATTTTGAGAAATAAGTACAGTGGTACCTTGAGTTTCAAACAGCTCCCAACTCGAACAGTTATGTAAGCGTATTTTTGTAAAGGGTTTTGGAAGTGTATTTTTGGGGGTCTGAAACGGACTAAACTAATTTACATTATTCCTTATGGGAACAAATTCGTTTGGTAATGGCACTTGAACAGCCTTCTGGAACGAATTAAGTTTGTAACTTGAGGTACCACTGTAGTTATCATTGTTGTTTAAAAGTTATTAGTAGTCAGTTTTTTATGCATAGGCTTTTTAATTTTTAATTCAAATTTTTATTGTTGAATTTTATTTTTTAATTTTATTGGATGCAAGAATGCAAACAACAGTCATTATCGAAATGTGTAGTATCAGTACAGTATTTTAAAATGAGTACCTTTTGCAAAGCACAAGAAAATGTTCATTTGAAAGACATCAGGAATGAATAATAATATTCTTTGGTTTTACAATAAAATTCATGTCATACAGAAATTCATTTTATATAGCCTTGTACTTTGAAAATTAAAATAAGACTTGTTTTTTACTCACCGACTGTATCCCACCGAGGTAGGGTGACCTAAAAAGAAAAGCTTTCATTTTTTTTTTAATTTAGTAATTTATACAGGAAAGGAGTTACTAGCCCTTAGCTCTCAGCATTTTAGTCGCCTTTTATGACACGTATGTATTACGAAGGAAGAAGTCTGTTCCACTTCCCCAAGGAGATAAGAGGAAATATGTGTGTGTGTGTGTGTGTGTTAATCAAGGGGAAGCACTAAACCCGGAGGATTATACAGCGCCTGGGGGGGGGGGGGGATGTGGAAGGCATTCAGGCTTAATTCGAGGAACTGGAGCACAGATCCAATTCCCTAAATCAAGAGCCCCTCACCAACATCAAGGAACCTTCCTTGAGGGGAAAGAGGAAATAACCTTCATTTATGTTACTTTGCTTGCACTCCAACAGTACATCAAGCCATAAAAAACATTTGTTTCTACTTGGTCCAATTAAACATGCTCATCTGTCTGCTGGATGCTCAAGCCCCTAACACTGAAGACCTTTACCCCTTCCCTCCAGCATTTCCTGGGAGGACCTTTACCCCTCCTTTCTTCCACTCAAGATTTATACACCCTCTTTATCATTCTATTCTGTTCCATCCTCTCTAAATGCCCAAACTATCTCGACCCCTCCTCAGCTCTCTGTTATACCTCTGGTAACCTCACACTGTTACTATAACTTCTGTGGTCTGAATTCTCTGCATGATATTCACACCATACATTGCCCTCAACCTAGGTAGTAGGTAGGTAGACAGCAACCACCCAGGGAGGTACTACAGTCCTGCCAAGTGAGTGTAAAACGGAATCCTGTAATTGTTTTACATGATTGTAGGATTGCTGGTGTCTTTTTTCTGTCTCTTAAACATGCAAGATTTCAGGTACATCTTGCTACTTCTACTTACACTTAGGTCACACTACGCATATATATACACACACCCCTCTGGGTTTTCTTCTATTTTCTTTCTAGTTCTTGTTTATTTCCTCTTATCTCCATGGGGACGTGGAACAGAATTCTTCCTCCGTAAGTCATGCGTGTTGTAAGAGGCGACTAAAATGCTGGGAGCAAGGGCCTAGTAACCCCTTCTCCTGTGTAAATTACTAAATTTAAAAAGAGAAACTTTCGTTTTTCTTTTTGGGCCTCCCCGCCTTGGTGGGATACAGCCGGTGTGTTGAAAGAAACATTGCCCTCAAATGTGACGTCTCCACTGTGTTATCTGCAGGTGTGTTATTACATTCATGGATAATATAATCAGACTAAATGCTAAACCCAGAAGGATCATACACCATTACATTCATGGAGAGTGCTAAACCTGTAGGGGTCATATTGTGATGGGAATGGGAGACAATCAGGTTCAATCCAATGAAATTATTATTATACAGTGCCTGTGGGAGGGGAATAGAAGGTATTCAGGCTCAATTCAGGGAACTAGAACACAGATCCAATTCTCTAGATCAAGAGCCCCTCACTAGCATCAAGGAACCTCCCTTGAGGGGTCAATCCAAGGAATGGGAGGGTAAGCTCAATTTCTTGGATGAAGAGCCCCTTACTGGCATTATGTCATCTTCCTTAAGGGATAGCTTTAGATAAAACAATAGTATACAAACATGACATGAAATCTGAACAGGGCACATTTCTTACATTAATGGGGAAGGTAGGAGGGGGGGAGGCAAGCTAAATTTGTAGGGGTCATAGTGATTTAGCAATGGGAGATAATAAGGATTCATCTATTGTCATCAGGTCTAATTCTTTAGATCAAGAGCTCTTCACTGGTATTAAAGAACCTCCCCTGAGGAATGAACAGGGTGCAGCTGACCCTGTCTAACTACTGAGATAGGGACTTTCTCAGACGCCGATGTAGATGTGAACCATAATAATATCACCTATCTAATTAGTTAATTTAAAATTTTAAACAAAACAATGTTCTTATGAGATCATATTTATGAGAAGGCATTGCACCTGTAGGAACTGGAGTTACCCTCACTTGGGTATCTTTATTGATATTTTGCCTATTTTTTTTTTCTGGCTAATACAGAGGTGACTATTATACTAGAGACAATGGAAGTAGAGAGAGAATTTTAAAGTGTTCAGTCACTTAGCCCTGAGATAGATCAATGCTCAGGGACTGAACACTTATCAATGCTACAGGACTATATACCTATTACTATTCCACTTCTAGTCTCTAGTATAACAGATGCCTCTATATTAGGTTAAACGGAAAGCCTATCTGGCCTATCTATCTATTGGCACCAAAGCACAGCCTGTGAAACCCACCTTAGAAAATGTCCTAGAGATGCTATTTTAACTCAAGAGGTCATAGGTTAGCTGTTCCCATCATGTACTGCATGGGGATTTGTTTTTGTACGGCACCCACCGATTGCACAGACCCATTCTCTCGTGCTAGGCAAAAATTTGCCACTTGTGGCAAATGAATTATGCATACTAGTACATCACAGGTATAGATGCCATGGATGTACTAGTATGTCACAGACAGCTTACTGGTTAACAGGAATAATACAAAATGATGGTAGAAAAGAACATATTAACTTTGAATGAAAATGTCAAAAAACAGTAATGTATCTTAAATTCATTATTTTATTTCACTGACTACAGACAACGAATATAGATAAAAGTAGACTCATAAAGAAAACTTTTAATCTCACTGAACAAATTTGTGAGATTAGGCTAGAAGTTGGCTTTCTGTAAAAGCTAAAAAATATATACTGAAAATATAATGCATTACATGAAACCATAAGCTTTGTGAAAAATTAGATATCATTAATATGTGTTGGTTATTATTTTGGATTTAACACAAACCACTGCATTAATTAAACACTCACTAATAACCAGCCCTCATATTAATGACAGTTTTTGAATTTATCATGGCACATCTCTGTCATGTAGGAATACCTTTGTTTACTCTCCAAAAATTAATACTTATGGTGCTCAAATTTAATGCACTTGGGAATTTTTGTGAGCATATTCTCATTTCTTGAATATAGTTTCTGAACAAATAAGTGCTTCTCATTACAAGTTTAACAGCATGCTTGCAAACCAATGTTATTTTGATACTTGAGTATCCCAAAAATTATAGAATCTCTTGGAATACTGTGATTTTAAAATTCATGCTCAATACTGTATGACCCTTGAAGGATCAGAAATTTCATATTTACTTGTTACTACAGCTAAAGACTTTTTCTGTAATATCTACAAAAAAAAAAAAATAAATTACACAAATAATGTTCTTAGCTACTGACACATGGGAAACTTAATATCATCTAGCCATAACCTTACCTAATTCCCTATTAAATACGAGAGAACAGATGTACCAAGTCTTAAAAAACATAAGTGTATTCACCTTCAACTATGCTGGGTAAAACAAGAGAATGGACCTCCACAATACTTGAATACTTCACAGATACTTTGCTGGGTTTAGCTTTTTTTTTTTTTTTTTTTTTTTTTGGTGTGTGTGTGTGTGTGAATAAAAAAGAATGCTGTACTCACTTGGCTTGCAAGATGACTGGTCAGAGAATCTTGTTCCTATTCTTTTTCACTTTCAGAAAGAATTACATCTATACACACTCACCTGGCATACATCACTTACATGAGGAAAGTAACTCTCTGAGTCAAACCTTCTTTTATGCCTCTTCTTACCTTCAATGTCTTCACAGTAAATCATCAGCATCAAAGCAAATTTTCATTTATGCATTGTTTTGTGTTTACTTCACTTCTCTCATACTATAAATCTTCACCCCATTTATGAATCATCTCCAATGATTGTTGTGGTGCAGACAGATGATGATTTTACCACTGTTTGGACAGCTAACACATTGGCATTACCCTCTGCATAAAGCCTTGCATCTACTTTTTTTTAGTGTCTCAATGAATATGATACTGAATCTCTGTGTTGGTGGCCAAAAGCTGTTCATAGGTATCTTTCTCCCCTCAAGTAACATGGAGGTCAGTATCTCGTCTGAATGGAATGGACAGACTACATATCCATCAAAAAATCATGGGATATTTTTTCATTGTGCAGGTTGGCCATTACTAATTCGGCAATCAGTTATCCAGTTCCATCAGTAATCTGGCACTAATTTCGGCTAGCGTAATTTCAAATTTCGTCATTATACTGACTCAGAAATTGTGCAGATGGTTGTAAATCCACAGCAGCAAGCCTGTGGAGGAGAAAGCTGTGATGAAAACGAGGAAGATGTAGCAGTCTCTCTATTGATAGGTTAATTAAGTGTATTCTAATCTAACCACTCTGTAATCTGGCAAACTCACTAATCCAGCACACTACAGGTCCCAATGATGCTGGATTAGTGATGGCCGACCTGTAGTAACATAATTAATATACAGCTTTCTTATAGCCACAGTTAAATATAGCATCCCACAACCATGGCAGTGTTTGTAGTAGTCAGCCACTATAAAAAAAATGCTTCATTTTTCCATCAGATGGCAGAGGCATATCAGTACCAGAACCTGCTATCCAAACTGCATCTGCAGTTGCTGGCTTTTTTGGCCTCTCATGACTCAAAGCTGAAGTGTGATTGTACAGCTCAGCATGGCTTCTTTGTCAGTGAGTAACTGAGTTCAAATTGATTGGGCCACCTTAGTACCCATTGTGATGACATGGTCTTTTCTTTTTTTCTGAACATATATTCCACAACTATGTTCCCCATCACTGATTCAAGGATTTTATAACTCACTTCTTTGGCTTCATCCACATTTACAGTTTTTGTTTCAATACTCAAATCTGCATTTTTAATGAACAGATTCTCCTGCAGACATGTGGATGCTGTTTTTCTGTATAGGCACTTCACTTGGTCGGTTGATTCCAATGCTTACCTTCTTTCTAAGTACCACAGTTTGTTGACTGTTCACTATGGGCTCCT